AATTGTGATACTATACATAATGCAAAGTTTACTCAAGAGTTCAAGCAAAATTTCCATTTCCCCTTTTATACGTGCCTGAGTTTTTGCGATTCTTATCTACATACATATGTAGCGCGCATATGGCGGATCATAAACGTACCTTCACTACTGCAAGTTACGTGCCTCGAAGCGAGCGTATGTCATGCAATACGCATTAAACATTTCAAATAAATTTGTAAGAATTATGACGTTAATGAATAAATTTACAGATTATTTTTATAATTATTATATTCCTACTTTCTAAAAAAAGAGATTACATATATAAAAAGAGATTACATATAAGAGATTACATATATTTTTTCTTTTCAGAGAAAAAAGTATAGTCAGTAACACTTTGTGCTTCGAGATTTCATTTGGAAAGCTTTTCTATTATTCCATTTGAATCCACTAAATTCCCGAGTCGACGAAATGCAATTACCGAGTAATTCGAAGGACTATAAGGTAAGATGGTGCGTTTTACAGATTGGCATTCAGCCAGCTTCTCTTCGGCAAATCATATTATCTTAACGAGACCAGATAACGCCCTTTTGTCAATGAAATGATGTACGAACGTATTGCGCTCTCCCAACCAAAGACTGTCACAATCATATCGGTAAACCCAAATGAAAAAGTTCTCTATTTGCTCAATTGACTACTAAGGCAAATTACATTTCTTTATATTATTAATTTCATTAAAATTGTGCGATTTTAAAAGCTTAGATAGAAAAAAGAAATTATTGATAGTAAGGAGATATTGGGTTGTCCGGAAAGTTCATGCCGCAAAAGATTTAAATTTAATAAATGTATACTAAAATTTAAATCTTCTGTGTTTCAATTTTCCTTCAAAATCGGCATGAACTTTCCGGACAACCCAATATATTTATCCAAAATGAAAAAGTTAGATTTACGTTACTGATTTATTTGTTCTGATATTTAATTTTTTACATTTTAATATACATTAGAATATACAGAATATTTGAAACATATTTATAACATATTATAACATATTTATAACATTTATATTATATTATATATTTATAACATTTATATTAACATATATTAACATATATTTTATAAAGTAATAATATGTAATCTAATATTTTTTTTTATTTCTCTTTTATTCCTTATAATTATTTTATGAATTAATAAAATAATTCTCTGTCATAATTTCAAAATAAACTATTTCACTGGATATACATGATGTCTGTATTACAAATAAAATTATTATGATATAATTGTCACATAGCGAACGGTTAAGTGAAGCAAATACAGAAAAGTTTGTTTCTCCTATTTTGCAACAAGAATAATCGTTTCATCGTAGAACGCCTGTCGAAGTATCGCTATTAAAGCGAGTTTATTCATCGTTCTCGTTGGCCGAACGTTCTCCATTATGAAGAGCGAGATAATACAGATGTATAAGGTGTCTTATACAAACTGGCATTCAGCCAAGCTCGCCGAGCGGGCAGTTTCATACTAATGAACACGACAGATGTTACGAAACTCAATTTTCCATATTGCGTGTCGACGAGGAATCACATTATTCCTTTAATGCGATCATATCTTTTATATCTTTTCCATTAAAATAGATACAGATAAAAGTTAACCAATCAAAAAATATAGTTGATAATAAATTATATAAACATATTTTTGATGGAAATGTTTTTTTGTCAAAACGATAATTAATCGAATTTTTCATTAAAGAAAACTTCTCTTTAATTTTCTCAAAGAAGTTAAAGTTTTTTTTTAACGTTGACGCGCTATAAATCCGTTTTCCGTTTTGCCGCAATGAACTTCCGCATTGTAGTATACGCGGAACCGTAACAAAGAATACGAGGAATGTGGATTTTCGGCTTTATAACGTCGAGACTTATAAAGCCGTAAAAGAGGATTGCGGGGCGTTCCGTACATTTTGTGCTACAAGGGAATCTTTCCTTCTTTGCCTCGACAAAAGTCTCACTATTACCATGTTTACATTCACCCGTTAACAACTTATGAAACGATTCCTTGTAAGAAAGAAATCGACGGAACTATTTCTTCGCGAGGAAAATGTTGCAGAAGATAGATGAAAACTTTGTTCAATTTTTTTGTTACTTGCAACAATGATAAATGTGTGAAATATAATCTCAGGTAATCAAACCGACTTTACTCTTACGCATAATGGCAAAACTTCTTCAATAAAATTTAGATGTTTCGGAAATTAACTCTCTCGTGCTTTTAAATTCATTATAGTAAAAAACATAGGCGTAATAAATAGATATAGGCCGGTATTCATAGTCGATACTTATATTCAAGGGTCGTCTTAAATATATTCAAGACGGTCTTGAAAAGATCCTGGCGCCGTCGACAAAAGACTATTTTTGTTGTATTAAGGAGTCTCCTATATTAGAAAACCGAAAAAAATGATTTTTCATAATTTTTTTGAAAAGAAAGATTAATATTTATCATTTAAAAATTTTTTGCACGTTTTAATATAATTATTGTGAAGTACCTATACATTTTTATGTGAGAAAAAAGTATTATAAATAATAAAAATATAAACATTTAGATAATATTAAGAATCTTTATTTTTAGATCGC